GGGAATGTATGAGAGTATAGTTTTACCAATGCTCTTATATGGGTGCGAAGCATGGGTGATAAATGTTGCAGCGAGGAGAAGGCTGGAGGCAGTGGAGATGTCATGTCTGAGGGCAATGTGTGGTGTGAATATAATGCAGAGAATTCGTAGTTTGGAAGTTAGGAGGAGGTGCGGGATTACCAAAACTGTTGTCCAGAGGGCTGAGGAAGGGTTGTTGAGGTGGTTCGGACATGTAGAGAGAATGGAGCGAAACAGAATGACTTCAAGAGTGTATCAGTCTGTAGTGCAAGGAAGGCGGGGTAGGGGTCGGCCTAGGAAAGGTTGGAGGGAGGGGGTAAAGGAGGTTTTGTGTGCTAGGGGCTTGGACTTCCAGCAGGCATGCGTGAGCGTGTTTGATAGGAGTGAATGGAGACAAATTGTTTTTAATACTTGACGTGCTGTTGGAGTGTGAGCAAAGTAACATTTATGAAGGGGTTCAGGGAAACCGGCAGGCCGGACTTGAGTCCTGGAGATGGGAAGTACAGTGCCTGCACTCTGAAGGAGGGGTGTTAATGTTGCAGTTTAAAAACTGTAGTGTAAAGCACCCTTCTGGCAAGACAGTGATGGAGTGAATGATGGTGAAAGTTTTTCTTTTTCGGGCAACCCTGCCTTGGTGGGAATCGGCCAGTGTGATAATAAATAAATAAATAAATAAATAAATAATATATATATATATATATATATATATATATATATATATATATATATATATATATATATATCGTGCCGAATATGTAAAACTGGTCAATTAGCAAGAACTCATTTAAAATTAAGTCCTTTCTAAAATTTTCTCTTGTACGTGTAAAGATATATTTTTTTCATTAATGCTAATGTAACATTTTTTAATTTTGCACCAAAAGAATCTTAGAAAACTTACCTAACCTTATCATAACAAGAGCAATTTATTTTAGCCTAACCCAATTAAATATATTTTAGATTTGTTTACAATAATTTAATACTAAACAAACACAGTGAAATATATTTTTTTCGTTAGGTTCAGAATGATTTGGGCGAAATTATTGCATACACAAATTTTCACTTGTCCTATATGGCAAGATGAGCGATGCTATTTAAGCCAAGATCGCAAGTTCTGCCTATTCGGCACGATATATATATATATATATATATATATATATATATATATATATATATATATTATATATATATATATATTATATAAAATATATATATATATATATATATACATACACAATCTTAGGAAATTATGTTATTAGTAGAAATTTTATTAGAATGATACATATTTTTTTCTGCGTAGTGATATAAATGCTCGAAATACTATTAATATTGTTAGAAATTAACGCAAGTATACCAACATGATGAATTACTTTTCTTGCTTAAGTAAGAGGGTATACTAGCATGATATATTACACGGTGTATGATGTCTGTCAGGCTATAAAGCGATAAATCTGGAAATACCACAATTACCAATAATCTGATAAGAGTGATGATGGGGTGCACAGAGATAATTGACGATAACACGACGATAATTTATATTGACAATATTTTTTGTGGTGGTGGTGGTGGAGGTGGTTGGTTATGGTAGTGGGTGGTTGTGTTGGTTGGTAGTGTTGTGGATGGTAGTGTTGTGAATGGCAGTTGTGAGTAGCTGTAGTGATGGAGTGCGTGAGGAGTGTGGGTTGTGGTGGCTGTGAGTTGTTGCTGGTGGTTTTGGTGGTGATTGTGTGTGGTAGTGGTGGTTATGTTGGTTGTAGGTTGTAGCGTTAATGATGGTTGCGGGTTATAGTGGTAATGATGGTTGCGGGTTGTAGTAGCGTTCGGTGATGGCAATCACTGTTGGTTACGGTATTGTGACAGTGAGCTTTAGCTGACAGCGGTATTGGACAGCAGCGACAGCGGTGGAGAGGGACGGAGAAGGTTGGTTGTGGTTGTGGTGGTAGTAGTAAAAATGATGATAATGATGACAGAATAAAACTTAGAAAACAATTACATGCACCTTAACTACAATACAACTTACCTGCATGTAGAAGACGATACCAACTGTAAATCCGAACGTAAGTTCCGAATCAAATAAGTTAGAGTAATTAACTATTAACTCCACTATGCGGTTTATAACATTTTATTGAGACGTTTCGTCCACCAAGAAGTTTACCAAATAATAAAATTCCTGGTGGATAAACCATCTCAATAAAATGCTATAAACTGCATATCGTATTTTATTAGTTTTATTAAGGTATTTGTAGTTAAAGTTTTAGGTGATGTTCGTTTTCTAATTCACTCTTGATATGACTTAGTTTTAACCTGCAGACAGCGTGTCTAGCTATACTCACGTAGAGGTCGGGGTACCGGGGGGCGATTACCCCAAATGAGGCAAAAATGAAAATCATGGGGGGTAATGAAGGCTCAATAAACATATAAATAAAACTACCATGAAAATTAATATTTAATAAGCGAGTCAAACTATGAAAGTTATAATATATAATATATATATATATATATATATATATATTATATATATTATTATATATAAAAATATAATATATATATATATATATATATATATATATATATATATATATATATATATAAAAGTAAAATTAAGCGATGGCATGGATAATCTACATTTATAAAGGGCCAAAGATAGCTGGCTGGATATTAAGGTGCCTCACATATGCTAATAGCCATCTTATCTTTATGCATGGGGCGAATTGTCGAGATAATTAAAAATTTATTTATAGTTTAACAACTTGCCAGGTTATAAATTTAATTTCAGGGGAGTTATGAAAACGTCTTTTTCTCGCGAGATGATGATGATGATGGGTTGTGGTGACGATGTTGATTGTGTTTATGGGGTGTGGTTGTTATGGTGGTGATGTAAATATGGGTGGAAAAAGATATAACTCCCATCCCTTAATATCTTTTAAAATCTACGACCCTCTAGTTTCCACGGTTTTTCAAAAGTCAAGTAATGAAGATGATCTAGTCCCATGGCGACACTAAAACCAAGAATTATGAAAAGGATTACTCTTGAGAGCACAGAGGATCTCCAGCCCACCCTGAAGAGGAATGCTCTCATATCCCGGGTGGATTCATTCGTCTCCAGTTTCCGCCCCTTTTTTTATCAATAACTTCGGGATTCTCGCACAGCGCGTAAGAACATAAGAATGGAGGAACCTTTCAAGTCTTTCTCAGATCCACTCATTCCCACTCATATTTATCTCTCCTGTTCCTTAAGCTGCCCATTATGAACACGATAACTTGTATGGAGATGTGGTCAAATAAAGTGAGGAGTGCCCCAACAAGATACAATTGCCGCCACCAGTTTTAGTAAGATCAGACCTGGGACAGCGCAACAAACACCACTGAAGGCTCTGCGTCATCCCACGTGGTAACTGATGACGCTGACGAGGGAACGACGGCAAGAAACCTGGAATAGCGTCCACAACCGGGACGATACGAACAAAGTGTACGATGCAGAGTAGTAGCCATGTCCCACCTGAAGAAGAAGGGAGAAATCAACCATTCTCATTAGTTAGTGGGAACCGTTAGTTTAGTGGACTGAGGCACCATGAAACTAATATTTTGGCCTGACTTTAATACGAGAAATAAGGGTTCAAATTCTACACAAATCGGCTGAAAATAAACTTTGTTAATATTCCACTCGTTTCGTGTGCCATGTATCTTACGTATTATATTATATATATATATATATATATATATATATATAATATATATATATATATATATATATCAATTTTTTAAAAGCAAAAAATTAATGATTACGATAGAAAGCTTTTACATTTTTGGAATGATAATTAGATAATACCTATACTGAGACGGATCAATCAGTGCCATTACCCCTTTCTATTAAAAACAAATCTCTTGTTTACATTGCTTCCTCGTTTGGCACTTGCTTCCTCTACGGTGCCAACTAAGAGCTGATGCGACTAACAGAGCTGTTCACTAAAGAGACGACTTCACCCACCTTCACCCCCTTCCTCCCTTTCCTTTATGTTCACCTCCCACCGATCCCACCTACAAACTTCTTCACTCCTTTCCTGATCCATTCCCTCTAACCACCTTTACCCTCCCGCTCCTCTCCCCCCCCCCCGCCCCTCAAACACCGTGTCGGGTCAGCTGTCTACAGATTTCGTAAGGTTCTCAGATCAAGTTCAATTGAAAGTTCATCGATGAGTGGAGTGCTCTCTCTGGCTTCATTCAAACCCTTCCACTGGTGCTCGAGACGTGGGTTACAAGTGCTTAACTGTCTGACAAGCCCTCGGTCATCTTGAAAAAACAAATGACAATCACGCAGAAACAAAAGTGAATCGAGAAGCGTGATGTTGTAGTGTGATAGACCACGCGCCTTCGACCAGCTCCACTCGCGCCTGGATGAGGGTCAAAAAAATCATTTGACCCCCTTAGGAAAATACAGTACAATGGAGAACAGAGTAACCAAAAAAGAATGCCAGTCAGATGGACGCGAATTAAATTATTATTATTATTATTATTATTATTCGTGGCGCAGCGGTGATCAAGTTATGATCATGCAGCGTTAAGAGCAAAGACTCGACCCCTGCAACCACAATTAGATGAGGTGAGTACACACACACAGAGACACACATTATTCACTTCAAACACTCGCTCCAGCTCTTCTTTCCAAAGCTAGTGTGGATTTCTCACTGCAAATTGTTTAGGTTAAGATTAGGTTAGGTACAGTTTGCTATTTGTTAGGTTTGTTGAGGCAAGACGGTCGTTTTTTAGAAAAAATTACTCAATTATAACTCATCAAAACATAACCCTGATTAATACGGACGATAAGAACATATGCAGCACGAATACTAAATGCGTATTGTACAGTATATTGTACAATACATTGTGCAATACACTGTCCAATTCACTGTATAATACTGTACAATAATCACATTTTTATTCTAGTGTCAAGGTCACACATATGACGATCTTCAGAGTGAAATACTGACCTTACTTATGAAGGAAGTTTGCTTGTTTACACTCAGGACGCAGTGAAGATTTCCGTAATTACCTTCACTCCCAGGCAGCGACGTCAGTAGTGACGTCAAGGGGCGGCGACAAGACTTTTCATTCGGCACTAAACTTTTCCATTCATTCAGTATATCAGTTTATGTCTTCTAACGTTTGTTTTCAAAAGTGTGGATTTGAACATGTCTTTAAACATTGGTTATCCACCATATGTTTTGAACGAATGTCTTCTAACGCATAGCTAGCATATGTTTCGTAACGCAAGTTTTCTAAGGTATATCTTGGAAGTAATATTTTAAACGTGTATCACTTGATTTTCTAAGCTCCGCGAGAATTCGACATTGACTTAAATGTCACTTAACCAGAGGTAATTACCAAACACTGGTGGAAAACTCCCCAAAACTAGCTCAAAGACACGTTTTCGTGAAGTTTTTCTTAGCTACCCCCCGACTTCCCATCCACACACCAAGTAGAAGTCTAGAATGATGACGTGTAGTGCTCAACCTGCTTGTTAGTTCATTCTTACTCGCCTTATTCGGGTGAAAATATTGCCAACACTCGTAAACCATGATAGACAATTTGTATTTATAATGAGGTGTGTATATTTGCACACAAAGCATATATACACTACAAGGTGTGTGTTGCTCGGTGTATATAAATATGCTGAGAATTTATCTTAACCTTTATTTAAGGGGTTAAATTATTCTTGATTACAAGTGAGCAGGTAGCAGGCAACCTGTTGACAGGCTTTAAACCTAATTAACGAACCTTTCGATGAAAGGTATACACACCACGATGTGCATATTTCTCGGTTTATATACTCCGAGAGTTTACTTTAAACTCTGATTTAGTGATTAAAGTACTCTCCACTGGTTACATAGAGGTGACCTGTAGTTTTAATTACCCTCGTGTACTAACAGCCTTTAAACCTATAAACCAGCTAACCCCGCGATATACATGTATATGCACAGGGAGCGGCATTTTAAATAAACCACTGGGTGTATTTATTACTATATGTAAGAATACCACAGTGAAAATAAGAAATAAAACCTGAGTGCTTTCATGTGCTTACACATCTTCAGAGAAATATGTAAGAACATTGAAGCACTCAGGTTTTATTTTCAATTTTCACTGTGGTATTTATTTGTACAATTATAAAGTCACGTGTTTCATTGTGATTTCTTCGATATCAGTTTATGAACAGTTACAATTTATTCTAATCTCAATATTAGGAATGAAAGTATTCTTATCTATTGGTGCATAGTTTCTTCGACAGTACATGTAAGAAACAGGTCATACGATGGCCCTTGTGGGTACTGTGGTGGGGGGGGGGGATGTCAAGGCGGTGTATGTGAGAACAGGTGAAGGCTGGGTAGCTGATGGATCTATGGCTGACCACGACACCAGCCACCGCTGGCCTACCCATCTGGATGCATTGGTCCGGGTATTGACGGAGAGACGCCCTTTACATCTCTCTTCCATACCAAAAATATCTACACACACACACGCACACACACACACACACACACACACACACAGGACAGGAGGGTCAGGGGAGACATGATAACGACATATAAAATACTGCGTGGAATAGGCAAGGTGGACAAAGACAGGATGTTCCAGGGAGGGGACACAGAAACAAGAGGCCACAATTGGAAGTTGAAGACACAAATGAGTCAGAGAGATATTAGGCAGTATTTCTTCAGTCATGGAGTTGTCAGGCAGTGGAATAGCCTAGAAAATGACGTAGTGGAGGCAGGAACCATACACAGTTTTAAGACGAGGTTTGATAAAGCTCATGGAGCGGGGAGAGAGAGGGCCCAGTAGCAACCGGTGAAGAGGCGGGGCCAGGAGCTAAGACTCGACCCCTGCAACCACAAATAGGTGAGTACAAATAGGTGAGTACACACACACACACCTAGTAGCGACCAGTGAAGAGGCAGGGCCTGGAGCTAGGACTCGACCCCTGCAACCTCAACTAGGTGAGAACAACTAGGTGAGTACACATACACACACACACACACACACACACACACACACACACATACACACACACACACACACACACACACACACACACACAACAAGTATTTTACGATGATATACGCTAGCGCAGATAATGATAATGCCGGTGACTGCTAAAAATTTATGTTCTCTCATGGATTTATTCTTGGTACTGGCTGATATCTCAATACACACACACACACACATCCACAAATACACCTGCAGGTTGCTACCACTACCAATGAGAAACCACAAGACAGCACCAGCAAGTACGGTATTTTCCAGCATATAAAGCGCACACTCATATGAAACACGTAAGACGATGTTTCGAAAGAGTTGTAAATTAACAGTAGTAAACAACTGCTAAAGCGTCACCCTTGACGCTGACCTTGATTTTTCATGATTTCTTGTAGGGGAGAAAGAGCGCGTCTTATATACCGGAAAATACGGTAAGTGTTCGACTGCCACTTGAACCGAATGAAGCTGAACACTGAGAATGGAGGAAGAAGGAGGAGGGGGGGGGGAAACGAGGTCAAAACAAATAATTATTCAGCAGACTATGTTATTAGCATACTTGTCGGCACCATTTGCCAGCGGCACCACCGTAGACAAAACCAACGGCAAGCGCCATAGCAGTAAAGACAATAGTACTATGGGCACAGTTGGTGAGAAAGACACAAATGCAAAGGAGAGCTTCATTTACACAACGTTTCGCCCAACAGCTGAAAAAAAGCTTAGTGTTTGGTGAAATGTGCTAATTAGGGACGCTGTATTTGTGTCTAAATATTGCCGTGTATATTAGTGGTGTTTTAAACCGAGAGATATAAAACACAGAACACGGTTTAAATTTTATTGAGAAGACGTTTCGCTCACTTTATGAATTCTCACGGTGAGAGGTAATACAGTCCCTGGTGGGCGAAACGTCGTCTTAGTAAACTGTAGAGATAATATATTTCTGAATGTTTCTCGTGGTGTGTGTGTGTGTGTGTGTGTGTGTGTGTGTGTGTGTGTGTGTGTGTGTGTGTGTATGTATGTGTGTGTGTGTGTGTGTGTGTGTGTGTGTGTGTGTGTGTGTGTGTGTGTATGTATGTGTGTGTGTGTGTGTGTGTGTGTGTGTGTGTGTGTGTGTGTGTGTGTGTGTGTATGTATGTGTGTGTGTGTGTGTGTGTGTGTGTGTGTGTGTGTGTGTGTGTGTATGTATGTGTGTGTGTGTGTGTGTGTGTGTGTGTGTGTGTGTGTGTGTGTGTGTGTATGTGTGTGTGTGTGTGTGTATGCAAAAACTCTGAGGTAGATCTAGAATTTTAGCTCAGTATTTTTTATGATGTATTTGCTTCGTGTGGGTTTTATCGTGGATGATGTACGGGTTGAAATTCACATAGAAAATCATCCACATACGCATAAGTGTACGCGCATACACATATGCAACTACGGAAACACACACACACACACACACACACACACACACACACACACACACACACACACCACGAGAAACATTCAGAAATATATTATCTCTACAGTTTACTGAGACGACGTTCCGCCCACCAGGGACTGTATTACCTCTCACCGTGAGAATTCATAAAGGATGAGGCAGGACTGCAAAGAGACCTGGAGAGGCTGGACATGTGGTCCAGTAACAGGCTTCTCGAATTCAATCCAGCCAAATGCAAAGTCATGAAGATTGGGGAGGGGCAAAGAAGACCGCAGACAGAGTATAGGCTAGGTGGACAAAGACTACAGACCTCACTCAGGGAGAAAGACCTTGGGGTGACCATAACACCAAGCACATCACCGGAGGCACACATCAACCAAATAACCGCTGCAGCATACGGGCGCCTGGCAAACCTGAGAATAGCGTTCCGATACCTTAATAAGGAATCGTTCAAGACACTGTACACTGTGTATGTTAGGCCCATACTGGAGTATGCAGCACCAGTCTGGAACCCACACCTGGTCAAGCACGTCAAGAAGTTAGAGAAAGTACAAAGGTTTGCAACAAGGCTAGTCCCAGAGCTCAAGGGAATGTCGTACGAGGAAAGGTTAAGGGAAATCGGACTGACGACACTGGAGGACAGAAGGGTCAGGGAGACATGATAACGACATACAAGATACTGCGGGGAATAGACAAGGTGGACAGAGATAGGATGTTCCAGAGAGGGGACACAGGGACAAGGGGTCACAACTGGAAGCTGAAGACTCAGACGAGTCACAGGGACGTTAGGAAGTATTTCTTCAGTCATAGAGTTGTCAGCCAGTGGAATAGCCTAGCAAGTGAAGTAGTGGAGGCAGGAACCATACATAGTTTTAAGAAGAGGTATGACAAAGCTCAGGAAGCAGAGAGAGAGAGGATCCAGTAGCGATCAGTGAAGAGGCGGGGCCAGGAGCTGAGTCTCGACCCCTGCAACCACAATTAGGTGAGTACAATTAGGTGAGTACACAGACACACATACACACACACACACACACATACACACACACACACACACACACACACACACACACACACACACACACACACACACACACACACACACACACACACACATACACACACACACACACACACATACACACACACAACACACACACACACACACACACACACACACACATACACACACACACACACACACACACACACACACACACACACACACACACACACACACATTGTCAATATCACAATAAAGTGTATTATTATTATTATTATTATTATTATTATTATTATTATTATTATTATTATTATTGCTAAACGCCAAACCCATAAGGTTCATGCAGCACCTGGGAAATGAGAGTAAATCAGGTTTGATTTGGTAAAGGATAGGATAGCTCCAAATCATTGGATCGAGAGCCCTTCACCAGCAACAAGGGCACCCATGTCTCCCTTGAAGGGACAAAAGAAAAGTGGGCAAAATTTACTTTTTAAATAAGAAACTCCTTTAGAAGATAGTAATGGTAGGGGGGAGGTATCTGGGGGAGGTATCTGGGGAGAGGTATCTTGGGGGAGGTATCTGGGGGAAGGAATTTGGGGGAGACATTTAGGGAGGTATCTGGGAGGATGTATCTGGAGGAAGTGTCTGGGGGAGGTATCTGGGGGAGGTATCTGGGGAAGTATCTGGGGAGGTATCTGGGGGAGGTATCTGGGGGAGAAGGGTAGAGAGGTATTAAATAAGATCTGGGGTGACAAGTGTACAGGAAGGGTTGGTAACACTAGTCGATGAACCCTCCTGAGGGCAACACTGCTCCTCACAGATTTCTTCTGAATACCTCTGCCACAGGATATTTTTTTTAAATCAAGTGCTATACCACAAAACGAAACAAATTTAATAATGCTTTCCAAAACACGCCCCCCCCCCAAAAAAAAAATAAACAAAGATAGAATTCGTGTGGGAAAAGAGTGAGAGAGAGAGAGAGAGAAAGAGAGCAAGAGTGATAAAATAATCACTGAAAACCGAGCTGGGAG